TTGACTCTGTACCCCTCAGGCTGCCCCATTTTTCCTTTTGTCCAGATGTCTCAGTTGAGAATTCTGCACCCCCCCTTACATTCTTATCAGTGGCTGACAATTTGATGCTTAACAATCTAGCATCTGGCCCAAGAGTGCCCAGAAACCACCCGTCCAGACTGCTGTAGCCAAGTGGCCCCCCGTTCCTGTCATCTTCCTCTGTCTCCTGCAGCCTGGTGGAGGGCTGTGTGGGGTTGTGTGAACCTGGCCTCAAACCCTAATTCCAACTCTTCCTTGCTGTGTGATCTTGAGCAAGTTACTTAAACTCTCTAAGCTTTAGTTTCCTTCAGTGGAAACCACCCCTCTGGGTCAGCTATGAAAGTGGGCTGTGATAGTGCAGCAATTGCTTGTCCAGAGCCCACCAGTGCTCTGGATTATGATCCAGAACTTATGCCCCTTCTAGAAACCCTCTCCTCCATGGGCTGCCTCGCTGACCACTGGGGTCCTCCCCCTGGCCTCTCACCACGCTTTTTCTTTCCCCTTCCTCAGTCCCCTAAGAATTGCTAACCCTAAATGAGCATTTATTTTAAGCCTGGCATAATCAAAGCCCTGTTAACTCCCAGGTCTGACCATAGCTTTAGGAGGAATGTCATTTCATCATCTCCATTTTACAGATGAGAAAACTGAGGCACAGGCAGGCAGGCAACCTGTCAAAGCTCCTGATGCTTGGAAGTGGCACGCCTGGGCTTCCAATCAGGGCAGTTTGATGGAATGGCTGGGCTCCTCATCCCTGCCCCCACTGCCTTCCATTGAGAGGGGTCCAGGCTTCTATTCCTGCACCCTTTGTATTCCCTGCAACCCTTTCTAGGTAGTGCCAAATTCCCAATTTCATAGATCCAGATGTGAAAGGTAAAGTAGAGAAGCTTCTAGAAGAAAACAGAGGAGCATATCATCATGATACTGGGGGCAGCAAATATTTCCTAAATAAGATTCTACAAGAATGAACTTTAAAAGATGAACTAGATTGAATTAAAAATCGAGAACTTCTGTTCATCTGAAGACACCATTGAGAGACCTAGAAGAGGAGGGTATAGCTCAAGTGGTAGAGCAAATGCTTAGCATGCAGGAGGTCCTGGTTTCAATCCCCAGTACCTTCTCTAAAAATAAATAAATAAACATTGGTAGAAGGGTTTGTGTTCAGCACATAGAGCAAGAGCTCCTATGAATCAGTACGCCTCTCCCACAAACATCATATAGGCCTGGATCCTTGCTCTTCCACCTCTTTAGTGAGATCTTAGACAAGTCTCTCCAAGGTTCTGACTCCCTGAATTAATTCTCAGATTTCCAGATTGAGGATCAAATCCATGCTGGTGTCCCTCACTGTTGAATTTCCTGTGAGAATAAAAAATGAGATAATTTTCCAAAAATGGATCAAGTGTCAGATGGGGAGTTATGTGTCTATGAAGACCATGCCCCTTTCTCAAATTGAAGCTCCCTGAGGACTTGGGCCGGGTCTAAGGCCGATCTCTGGTCTCTGGCACTGTGCACAGGCCCTGGTACGGTGCTCAGAGTTTATGGGAGCACATGTTTGATACATAAGTGGGCAGGGAACAGCATTCCTGGATGAGGGAACAGCATGAGTGAAGCATGAAGGTGGAAATGTACAGCCAAGTACACTGGATGTCAGGTTAGGGTACAATCATGGGAAAAGTAAGAACAGGCTGGGCCTGGATGGGGACGGGTCTTAAATACCAGCCATTGTTTGGAACACCATAGGCAGTCATAACAGTTTTGGCGACAAGGGCTGTGTACCTGAGGGGTAAGAGAGAAAGGGAGAGACCGAGAGCATTGGAGATTGGAGGTCAGGGGCGATCAAAGATTTCTAAGTATCAGCCATTTTAGGACATCTGCTTCAAAAGAAGGAAGCCAATGAGTGAGAAGGAAGCCAGCCTAGAAGAAAGAGTATGTTCATTAAGGGGGTGGGCCAGTGGCAGGAGGTGAATCTGGGGAGTAGAGCAGAAGAGGATCCAGCCTCACCACCCCTTCGCCTCCTGCCAGAAAGGGACCACCAGGCAGAGGGGTTGGGCAGTGCTTCTCAGCTGGGGTCCCCAGACCAGCAGCAGCAATGATACCCTCACCCAGAATCTTGCTAGAGATACAGAGGCCCCACCCCAGGCCCACAGAATCAGGATCTCCTGGGGGTGGGCCTGGTGCTCTGTTTCAACAAGCCCTCCAGGGTAATGTGAGGGCTCCAATGTCAGGACCCCTGGACGAAGCTCCCGCAGAAAAGAAGTTTCCCCTGGCCGTCACTTACAGAGACACCAGTGAGAAATGAAGGATCCCAGAGCCGGCCTTCTGGAGCCAGGACTCACCTGGAGAAGGGAATTTGAAAGGGCTCTTGGGTATAGCTCAACCTAAGTTTCCACCTTTGCTCAAACACCGGCTCTTGTGGGGCCACCTGAACCCAACCCAAAGACTCATCCCCTGAAAAGTTGCTCACTCCACCTCACCTCCCACTGTGAATTTCCCTGGCAGATCCCTGTCTACCCCCTCATCCATGGATTCCAGTCTTACGGGAAGTGATAGCCCAGCGGGTGGCCCTGTGGTAGGTGGTGGTTGAGGCCACGCCCGGTAACTGATGAGCCAGTCCGGGCCCTATACCTGACCGGGTCCTGCCCCTGAGCTTGATTACCAATTAGTATAAAACCCACAGCCCTGCAGGAGAAGGGGTCTGGGTGTGGGAGGGATGGGGCTGGAGGAAGGGGTTCCCAGCACTAGCTGAGGGGCAGCTCCTCCCGTCTCCAGGGTTGGACCTTCTGCCGTCAGAGGTGAGTTTCACGCCACGGGGGAATGGTCAGTGCTCGCCTTGCTGGCAGGGTGGACCCGGCGCAGGTATTTTGTGTTGAAGCTTGAGAAAGAGAGTTGCCTGTATTCCAGCTCTGGGGGTAGAAAGGAGGGGGATATTGAGTCTCCCTGATACACTTTGTAGAAGCCTTGTCTTATTCTTAGGATGAAATTCTCTGCATCCATGAAATCCTGGTGAAATGGCCTCCCTGCCTTTCAGCCTCACCCAGCTTGGGCCTGGGCAGCTCCCCATCCCTCTTGTCCACCCTCTTCAGGCTGGGCCAGGAATGTGGGCGCTTTCACCCTCCCCAGGGCCGAGCCGGCCCAGGTAAAGGGGCCTGATTCACCTCCGGGCAAATTTGTTAAATTATTTAAACAAGTAAGTAAGAACCACAAGGAGCCCAAATCGTCATTTGGGGGGAAGATGAGAGAAAAAGGACTTGGCTGAGAAAAAAGCTCATCGTCCAACAATTTTTAATTTAGGTTCAAATAGCCACAAATATGCAAGAATTCTCCCAAGTTCCGCAGTGACGAATCTCCCTTCCATTCTTCTTTACTCTTTGTCAGTTTCTATTCCCAAAGGCAATGCCCTTCCTAATTTCCTATGTGCATACAAACATATGCAAAGGTAGGTTCTGATTTCCGTCCTTCTTTTACATCAGCGCTGTGCGCATTGAATCCACCCTCCCCCATTAACTTACCTTGGAATTGAATCCACCCTCCCCCATTAACTTACCTTGGAATTGAATCCACCCTCCCCCATTAACTTACCTTGGAATTGAATCCACCCTCCCCCATTAACTTACCTTGGAATTGAATCCACCCTCCCCCATTAACTTACCTTGGAATTTCCGACTTCCAGGCATTGGTGTTCTTGTTATTTTTAACAGTTGCATCGAATTGCACTTCGTGCATACACCGACTTATTTCATGGGTCCCTTCCTGTGGATTTTGGGTTTGTCCAGTCATCTGCTACCAAGCAAAGCTGTGATGCTTCAGCTTAGACAGAGATAATATGCCTTACATTCAGGGGCACCTTTAGGATAAAGTCCTAAAAGTAAGAGTGCTGGCTCAGAGGGTCACTGGCCGCATTTGTAACTGCAGTGGATGTTGCCTCCCTTCCTCTGATGGGGAGGTAGGAAAGGAGGCTGTTGAGAGCCAGGCAGGGCAGGATTTGAACCTCTTCTCAGTGCTTTCTAGCTGCTTTCTCACTCAGTCTGAGCTTCAGTTATTAAAACCTGTAAAACACAGCCCACACAACTTTGCAGATGACATAGGACAAGCTAGGTAAATTTCAGGACCACAGACACCATGAGACCTACAAGTGTCAAGAGTAGTGGAGTCTGGCCATATGCTGTCCCCACATCTTCCCAAGGGCAGGCAGCCTGGGGGCCCCCAGGGTGACTGCTGAGCATTCGTGGAGAGGGGTGTGTGAGAGCCAAGGATTGAGCCTGGTCATCAAGGTCTTGGTTCCAGTTGGAAGGTCCTCTCCCCAGTGCTATCTGCCCTCTTGTCCCTGTGATGGAAGCTTCCTGAAGGAAGACATTTGGGTCTGCCCTAAATCCTCAAAGCTCTGGTCCCTGCCATAGTCCACAGATAGACACAGTCTGCCATGCATTGAGTGTTTGTCACTGTCCTTATCTGACTTGGAGTATTCTGTACATGTGATTCCATACAGTTCTCAGAATTATCCCCGAGGATAGGAGAGATGAAATCCCCACCAGCCAATCTCTTCATCATTCTGCAGCCTTGCGCCATCCAAATGGAATGTCTTTTTTGCATGACCATTGAGTTTTCCCACACTGTCCCCTCCAGGGGGAGAGAGACCCTGAGATGTGTGTGGAGTTTCCTGTGGCCTCACGTTTCATTCACACGGGGGATGAGCCCTCGTTTGAAAAGTATCCGGGCAGATGAAAGGGTGAGTTTGATTTTAGAGGACAGGAAATGCAGTCCGCGTGTCTAGAATGAAAAACATAACACCTGGTCCTAACATCTCAAGATGCCTGTGTGGAATTTCACCCTTAATACCATCACTGCCAACATGTAGTATCAGAAGTTAGTCGGTCACCACTTTTGAATCCTCTCCCTAAGAGGGGTGTTCTCTGAGCCTTCTCAATAGACTTGAACAGCACATCTGCACGTTGGCATCTGTTCCCTCTCTTGCTACAGGAATCGGGACATATTGGGAACCCAGGGGTGAGTGTGATCTCAAGCCCTAGAACCAGGTGGCTCAGGCACTTTGCCAGTCGACGGACATGAGTGAAGAGAAGGAAGAGGCCTCGTTCAGTATACTCACGATTTATGATGACCCGGAGGAGAGGGGGAGTGTGCCAGAAAGCCCTGGCATTTCCTCTCAGCATGAACATCACACACAATCTCAGCTGGATGAGGTGTGTGGTCCCCTGCAGCAGCTCCCTGGCTCCCTGGCACAATGTGGGCCAGTTTTTCAGGAGGTGAGCTGTGTGACTCCACAGCAGTGGGTCCCCCAGGCCCTTGACAGATCTGAGCTGCAGGTCCCTTGGTTCTCTGAGGTGGAATCAGAAGAAGCAGAGCCTGGCCCCAGGTAGGTCTCACCTGAACAAGACTTGGAGGGGGGTGGGGAATGGCCTGGGGCAAGGAATCCCAGCAGGAGCTCTCCATCTCATGCCCTGTCTTCTCCCTGTCTCCTCCATGTGTCACAGCTCCCCACCAGGACTCGGGTTTGGTAAGTCCCAGCTGGGATGATGTGGGCAGGCTCGGTGTAACCCAAGGCTGGGCCTCGGATGGGGGACCAGGAATGAGATCTTGGGTCAGGAGGGCAGCCTTCTCCCTGGATCCTGTGATGCTGCTGCTGCCAGACACCCTCTCTGCTGCTCTCTCCCGGCAGCTCAGCTTTGTCCTTCACCTCCTCCCAGTGAAGAAGTCCGGTCATTGCTCAGAGCAATTGTAAGTCTTTTTTTTTTTTAATATGACATCTTTCCCTTCTTGTTATCCACCAAGCAAGAAGCTAGTAGGAAGAAGATGAGGGCGTGCGGTGTGTCCACATCCCCACTCTCTCTCCCACAGGTGGTGGGTGCACGGGACTCCCTGCTTCTTTTGACCTGGGCTACCCTTCTCCCATCACCAAGTGTGGGGCTTCAGCTCACAATGTCACTTCCATAGTTCCATCCTAGGGGACTCTGAGCTGGGCCCTCCTCTCATGGCTGGTGCTCAGAATTATCTCAGAACGTGGCCTGTTACCAAGGAGGGAAACCTGGGCTCGTGCAGAGGGAGTCAATGGTATGGGGACTCCAGATGAGGACACAGTTCTCTGTCTGGGGTCAGAGAGGAGCTGTCGGATGAAGGCTTAGGAATTGAGTCAGAGGGCAGGGCAGGCTGTCCCCGCTGTGGGTAAAGGCAAGTCTAGGCTATGACCCTCTCCTGGCCACCCAGCCTCCCATTCCAGACGAAGCAGTGGTCAGGCAGAGGACTCCACGTGGGTCCTGGAAGGTTGGCAAACTCCACCACGGAAAGAAAGTCTATGCTGTGGCCGTCAGCGGCTCTACTCACCACGTGTACACGTGCGGCCATGGCTACATCAGAGTGTGGAACGAGAGTGCCCTGCACGCCTGGGACCAGGCCCCCCAGGCCCAGCTCAACCTCCAGGTGAGGGGTCATCAGGAAGACTGGGGGAGCCCAGACATGACCTCTGTCCTGACACTCGGAGCCCATGCTTCCAGAAGGTGATATGAGAGTGTAAACTGTTCCTACAGGACCATCAGAACTGTGTCCTCACCTGCAAGCTGTTCCCAGATGAGCAGAGGTTGATCACGGGGGGTCTGTCCCAGACCCTGACTCTGTGGGACCTAGCACCCACCCCTCGCATCAGGGCACAGCTGGCCTCCACGGGCCCCATGTGCTATTCCCTGGCCATCTCCTCCAATGCCCAGATCTGCTTGGCTTGTTTCAAAGGATTTGTTGAGATCTGGGATTTGCAGAACCAAATCTTGATCAGGTACGATGGGGGAGGGCTTGACGCTGAGGCTTTGGGAAAGTGTGTGTCCCCTTCCCGACCTCACCTCTGAGCAGTAGGACTAGGTGAGTCAACGTGGAGAACGTCTCTGAGCCACGTATCTAGGGGCTTCCTGGGCCCCCAACTTCTGGGGGTCCAGCCAATGCATGAACTTCTGAGTTTTCCCTCCAGGAAGCATGAAGTCCCCATCTATGGGTCCCGATGTGTGGACATCACGGGCAATAAGTTCTGGACGGGAGGCGAAGACACCAGCCTGTATTCCTGGGACCTGAGGAGCTACCAGCGGCTGCAGCAACATGATTTACAGCATGAGGTGCCTGGATGGCCCCCGCCGGGCTGCGTGCGGCCCCGGGGACCGGGAGTTGTGGGTGCCCGCGGGAGCGGGGTCCGCCTTGGAAGAGGTGGGACAAACGCTGGCACTGGCACCTTGAGTGCTGACTGTAGACCTCCTTCCAAACAGATCCTCAGCATCACGCATGACCCCAGTGAGGAGTGGTTGTTAGTGGGCTTGCGAATGAGTGACATCATAATCCTGCACACGCACCGGAAGGAGAAGTTTAAAGCTGTGTTACACAAATACATCCACCACCACAATCTCAAGTTTGCCTCCTGTGGTGAGTGAGCAGGCAGGCGACACCTCTGGGTGTCCTGTCCCCCTACAAGGCATCTACTCACCTGGAGAGTCTTATTTCAGACTCTTAACTCCCTCTTCTCAGGCCCCAGCAGTGGCCAGGGGCCCACCTTCCCTCTGTCCTCAACCCACACGCCCCACATCAGCCTCCTCCGGGTCCCGCTGTTTACCCCCTGCCAGCCTGGCTCCCTCCCTCCCTTCTTTCTCTGCTGCCCTCCCTCTCTGTTTCTGGCTCTGCCGATAACAGTAGCTTCCTACATGGAACCACAGCCCAAAGACACAGGAGACAGAAGAGGCCCGAAGCCCCATATGATTGCTCTGTTTAGTGACCCTTAACGTGATCCCAGGCCTGGCCGGAGGGTGTGGGCAGATGAGGGAGTGGTTTGGGCCATGTCTCTGAGTTTTAGAGATGGGGAACCTGAGGCAGAGAAAGAGTGATGCTTGCCCTAGTCTGGTTGGGAGCTGAGCTGGGACTAGAATGCAGGCTGGGTCTCTGACCCCTCCATTTGTCTTCCCTTCACCAGGGAGCTATTTTGTGACCACCCAGGACGAGTCGATCCACTGCCTTGCTGCACCTTCTCTGCAGAGGTTGTTTCAGGTACTGGATGGAGGGCTGCACCAACCCAGGCACTTGGGGCTCACAGCCCTGGTCCCCATTTGGTGGGGCCCCAGAGATAGTGCTAGAAACTACCTCTGAAATAGCATCCAGGGCCAGTGGATATATCGGAGGGGAAGGAGGACTCAAGGTCCTGTGAACCCCTGGGCTCCACCTAGAGCCCTGAACCTGGCCAGGGGTCTAGCCGAGCCTCATGTCTATAGGGAGCCTTGAAACAGCCTCACCTGAAGTGTGAATCCCTGGCCCAAGCCTGGCCCCTGCATGTCGTCCCTCTTGTGGCCTCTTTCCTTCCAGGCAGAGGAGTCTACAGACATCCTGTGTTGTGATGTGTCTTCTGACAACCAGTATCTGGTCACCGGCTCTAAGAACAGTGCCACAGTTTACCAGCTCTTGTATTGAAGGTTGTGAGCCATGGTCCACAATGAAGACCCAGAGAAGGCCAGTGGGCTGAGAGGTTGACCCCAGGGCTCTGGGTAACTTCAGTACCTCCCATGCCTCTACCTTCTCCCTGGCCAGTCATCTGTCCTCCCCTTCCCACCCAGCCCACACCTAGCCTTCCCTCCCAGGTTTTTATTATATGGCTTAGGAATTTTTCCTTTGTTATTTTTCTACTACTGATTTCTGGATTTTGTAATTAATAAAATAGAAAAGCAAAACCTGAAATGGCTGGGATAGATGGTCATTTATTTCCAATAACAAACTCATTGTGATGGATTGCTTATGCCTCCATTCAGCAAATTCCAGGGTGGGGAAGGAATTTTAGACCAGACTTAGTTTTGTTTATAACTTTTTGGGGGGCCAGGGAATTCTTGGAATCTTAAGAAAGTTTGATAAGCAAAATATGTACACGTATGAACTGTAAGATTGTATCAGGTGTTGGTAGACTGATACAATCACCTCTTGATGCAGGTGAAGACTCCTTGAGCTGGCCTAACCATATCTCAGGGAGAGCTCACCTTTTAGCTTCCTACTTGATGAAACCTCGCTTTGTCTGAGTCTTTCAAAGTCCTGATCCTAATTCTGGCATTTGGTAAGAGTCAAAATCTGCCTGTCTCCATTTCAGGACAATGACCTCCTGTTTGAGGGTATAATATTTTGTCTGGCCTTCGCCAGGCCAACACAGCCCCAGCTCCCGGAATCAAGCTGTACAGACCTGCTTTCTAATCTTCCATCCTGCCTCCTCATTGCTTGGTGTTGGCATGGCTGAGACAGCCAGCTGCCTGCTAAAGTCTGTAGTTTGAAGTTACCCAGAGGAGGCACAAAGCCAGGGACCAAGTGTACCATCCTTTGCATCGAGACCCTGTTGGGTACCTTTTTCTTGCTGATGGGTTACGAGTGAAGCACATGTCTCATTTCTGGGCCAAGGCTAATGGAGTAAGGGTCCCCTCCAGGTTCTCTGTCCCCGTCTACCAGCTCCAGCAAATGATATGGAGCCTTAGGGGATTGCAAAACAATGAGGTGGGAGCCTCCTGTGTCCACAAATCAAACGTGGAGAAAAACTGCCAACTCTGGATTATTTCATGGAAGAGAAATAAACTTATATTTGAATTGTTACATTTTTGGGAGTCTATAACTATAGCTCTAGAAATATACAACTTGTACTTAAAGGACCAGATGGTAAATATTTTAGGCCTTGTCCTATGCTCTTTGTCCCAATTATTCACCTCTGCTGTTGTAGCATGAAAACAGTCATAGACAACAGATAAATGAATGTGACTGTGACAATAAAACTTTATAAAAACAGGAAGTGGGCCAGATTTGGTCTGCTGGCTGTAGTTTGCTGAGTCCTGCTGTGGCCAATGAGCCTCTAAATAATACATTTATTTAGAATCCGTTTAAAAATATGATACAGAGGGTGGAGACCAATAGTAGATCTATCCTATTGGGCTGTAGTAACAAACAGCCTCCAACTGTCTCTATAACAAGTGTCCATCAATGGATAAGTAGGTAAAATAAAATGCAGTTTTGTTATATATAATGGAAAATTATTTAGCCTTTGAAAGGAAGGAAATTCTGACATATGGTACAGTATGGATGTACCTTGAAGACATGCAGAGTGAAATAAGACATGGACAATAATGTATGGTTCCACTCATGAGGTACTTAGGTCATTCATAGAGACAGACAGTAGAATGGTGGTGACAGGAGCTGCGGGGAGGGGGATATGGGAGGTTATTGCCTAATGGCTACAGAGTTTCAGTTTTGCAAGAAGAAAGAAGTTCTGGAGACAGGTGGTGGTGATAGTTGTGCAATAATGTGGATGTGCTTAATGCCATTGACCTGTACACTGTAAAATGGTTAAGATGATAAATTTTATGTTACATATATCATAGACAATTTTAAAAAGGAAAAAAGGCAGGGAACTGTAAAGATCAAATTCAGAATAGTGGTAACCTTTGGGGAGGGAGGTAGAGAAATTGGACATAAAGGGATAAAAAGGGAGCTTCGACTCTATCATGTTTATTTCTTTAAAAACAAAGTTCATCAAAATTAAAAATGAGTGTTACAAAAGAAACCATCAAGAAAGTGAACAGACAACCCACCAAAGGGGAGAAAACATTTGCAAATGTTTCCAGTAAGGGACTTATATCCAGCGTGTAAAGAAGTCTTACAACTCAACAATAAAAGACAAGTAAACCAGTTTTTAAAAGGGCGAAGGATTTGAACAGACATTTCTATAAAGAAGGTGTACAAATGGCAATATGCACAGGAAAGGATGCTCAATATCATCAGGGAAACGCAAACCAAACCCACAGTGAGGTATCGCTTCACATGCGCCGGGATGGCTGGAATAAAAAGGACAGACAATAATGAATGTTGAGGATGTGGAGAAATTGAAACCCCCATACCTTGCTAGTGGGATGGTAAAACACATTGCAGTCACTCGGGAGAACAGTGCAGTAACTCTTCAAAATGATAAACACAGAGCTACTGTATGATCCAGCAATTCAAAAAGAGAATTGAAAACAAAGGCAAGTAAGTTGGGAGGGTAATAATTGGAAATGATAAAGTAAAAGAATTGTAAATTTTTTTTTTTTGCAAAGAAGGTAAAAGTCCCAACAGTAGTCTTGATAAGTCAAGGAGTAGTGTTGTAATTTCTAGGTTAATTACTAAAAGAATATTAAATGAGGGTATAGCTTCCAAATAATAAAGGAAAAATACTGGAATAATAAAGTATAATAATACATAATGACATTATTAGTTTTATTACTTATATTTATAATTAATATAATTTTATTAACTCATTATTAAAAGTATATTTAATGTGATATTAATCTAATATAAATAAAGCTAGGTAATAAGAACAAAAAAATACAAAACTTGACCAAAAACTGAGCCATAAATGTCAGAGTATTTAATTCCTACAGAATATATTCTATGACCATAATGCAATTAATATAGAGATAAATAATAAAAATAGAAATTTCCTTATTTTCGACATTTAGAAACATACGTCTAAATATTTAATAGAGACTAAGTCACAAAGAGCTTACTGTAAACAATAATCAAAAATCAAAGGATTCAGCTAAAGCTATAGTTACAGCTTGGCCATTGCTAGGTCATCAATGCCGCGCCCCACTTTGGTCTCCCAGGCCACGTGGGAGACCGTCACTGACTGTCCAGGTCTTCCCTGCTCTTGAAAGCCGGGTCTGAACCAGAGCGAAGATAGTCTCCGAGACAGCCCCAAAAGAACGCAGAGACAGGGCCTTTCTCCGAGGAGAGGGAATTGGGGAAAAAGGAGATCGGAAGTGGACTGGAAGATTATTTTTCACAGATGTTGCAAATTGAACCCCTCAGCAGCTCTATGTCTATTTCCCCTCAGTCGCGCCAGCGCTGTGTGTTTCCACCTTTATAGGGTTTTATCTTATTTTATTATTACTGGAAAGGGGACAACGATCGTTCCTCGTGGCTGTGGCTTGCAGTGAATGGTCTGGGTGGGCATCCCTCCACCTGCCGGGCCCCTGTGGGGTCAGTCTAAGCTCCACTCAAGAACGCTTATTTCTGTAAAATGCTACGCGATAGCACAGCAAAATATCGTGCCCTCTCTGAGGCTCGAACTCAGGACCTTCAGATTATGAGACTGACGCGCTGCCCACTGCGCTAAGAGGGCACTGGGTAGTACCCTTCTTTATCACTAAAGAAAGTGCCTGCGGCCCCTTTCTCCCGCCGAGCCGCATTCCAAGCGTCGGTGTCTCCCAGCAGCCGCAGGGCGGGTCCCAGGACACGTGGGGAAGGAGGGCCGCTCTTCCGGGAGAGGAGCCGTGTTGCGGAGGGAGGGTGGCCCACGCCCCGCAGCCGGAGCCTGCCGGGAGCGCAGCGGGTCCCAAGGAGGAGGTAGGCGCGGGCAGCCGCGCACCCTGGGGTTGGGGAAGGAGGGAGAAGAGGCGCGGCCCGTGGGGGTCTGCGGGTTGAGCAGGAGTAGGCGGGGCTGACACTCTGGAGGGCCTGCCTGGGGCCGGGGCTCCAAGGGGTGACCCCGCCCGCGCACTGGCTCGGGCACCCAGAGAGCAAGCTTTGGCTTTGGTGAGAGGCCGGGCGGCCGAGGATGCGAAGCGCAGGAGGTGGTACAGGCGGCCGACCAAGCTGAGGTCGTCGATCCTGACGGTTACCGTCGCTTGAGCGCGCGGGAGATGACAAACGGCGAGTGTCCGGGTGGACGAAAGCCGGAGGGGGCGACACCAGCTGCAGGTAGGTGTCGGGGTGCCGCTGAGGGCTGGGAGGGGCTCTGGGGCGGGCGCGCGCAGGGGCGGGACGGGGAGAGGGGCGCGCAGAGGAGTTTGCGACGTTAAATCTCCAGGCCTGATCCTGGATGGGGGTGGGGCTGAGGTGGGAGAAAGGAGAGAAGATTCCAGAAGACTCTTGGATGTGAATTTAGTTGGAAAACGGAGGGAGAAACTATGGTTGCCTTGGACTTGACAGCTTATTCGCTTATTAAACCTTGTGGCTGTTTTCTCTTTCAAGTATTTTTCTTCCTCATTACATATAGGGCATCGTGTTTTGAAGGGCGGGAGAGTAGCAGCGCTCCCTCTGGGCAGGGTTTTAAATTTTGTTATAAGAATGCAGGTTGTATAGGTGAACGGATGGATGGTTGGATGGACAGAACATATAAACACCTTTAAAAAGCACTCCTTCCTTGTTACCTCAGGGAAATTTCTGCTGCCAGTGCCCAGAAGGGGATGGCTACCAAAGAGGGAAGCGTTGCCCCATCCCATTTACCCAACGGTTATTCTTGGATTGGGTAGCTTATTCTTTCTTTCAGTCCTTGCAGAATTCTTGTTTTCACCAGGGGAACAATATAGTTTCATATCTGGTGGGTCTAGCTCCTTCTCTCACTGGCCCTCTTCAGAGAGTTGGTGCTGAATTGGTCACAGGGCTCAGGTCATCTCTTGGACAACTGTTCACGCTAATTTCCTCTTCCTGCTCTGATTTCCGAGGGCACTTAGTCAATGTGGCGCATCCTGAAGTTCTGGGTTGTTCTCCATTGTTCCCTATGTGTCACTCCTCTCTTCCCTTGACTGGGTGCTCTGTGACCCAAGGACAGGGTCTGAGCCACCCCTGGGAACACCACATTCAGCGGGATGGTCAGAGGAGTTTTCTGGATGGCACCCTCACTATCTGCTGCCATCTCCTGCCGGACTCACTGCTGGTGC